ACCTTGGACGCGCTAGGCCACTCATTCCTCAGTATGTATAAAATTAACTGAACAGTTTCACAAGAAGTCAGACAGGTTCCACGGTGTGAAGCTCTACGACGCTGTCCATGCACAGTAGGTTCCGCTGATCTCACCTGCTCGCTCCGTACGTTTCGCGGACACCCGCCCCTCCGCCAGGACCTGACTTCGCATCTACAGTTTACTCCACTTTCATTAAATATGTACAATTATGAAACCAGTCGCTTGTCTGATGTGCTTGGTGTATAGATATGTAATGTAGTATTGATCGTATTTATGGTTGCTTGCTAGTATCTTAATGGTACTGTATGTATTTGACGAATATATGTTGATGATTCAAGATAGAGTTACGTAATAATATGTGTTATAGTCATTTAATTATAATAGTTGTGGCTTAATGCTATTTGCACACGTATCTGTTGTACCGCGTCGGAGACTCGGACACATTATACGATAACGTGCTATTATCGTAAACTACAAGCTGTTCTATTACAGAGGAAACAGATGCTAACAAAGGGTCAGTATTACTTTGTACGCATCTCACGTACCTGGACAGCACAACAAGCTCTACTATACATCAACAGCTATTAATACCGGTATATATTAGAACGGAGGTATTATTAGCTCTTGAATACATCTCTGTCTTATCATTTTATAAAACATGCAGCTAGAGCAGAAGAGAGAAGCCCTATCTACAGCATGAGGGAAGCTGCGCTGATCAGAGATGCTGTGCACCTCGATCGGACGTCTGCATCCGGCACGATGTCCAAGCATCTGCATCAGCATCCGCATCTTCAGCATTGCCTCTTCCTCGCATTCTTCCGTCCACGTCGAAGAGCCGACGTCTGCGCACGACGTTTTCGACGGCGCAACTCAGGGAGTTGGAGCGAGTGTTCGATCTAACGCACTACCCTGATATTAACATGCGAGAACAGCTAGCAGCTACGACAGCACTACCTGAGACCCGCGTGCAGGTAAATACAGGTGATAGTAAGCCCTACATGAGACCCGCGTGCAGTGTAATAACAAGTATTATAAGTCCTACCTGAGGAACACCGCGTGCAGTTTAAATACAAAGTGAAGTAAGTTACCTGAGACCTCGCTGACAGGATAAAGACAAGAGTATAGATATGTCTACTGAGACCGGCTGAGTAAATCAAGTGATAGTAAAGCCTTACCTGATGACCCGCGTGCCAGTAAATAAAGGTGATAGTATAGTCGTACCTGAGACGCGAAATGGTAATACAGGTGATAGTAATCCCTCCTGCCTCTCTCCGGCATATGCGTGAGACCCGCGACAAAAATACAGCTGTGTTGTGTTGTGTTGTTTAGTAAAGCACTACTGTAGCCCGCGTGACAGGTGATTACAAAGTAGATTTAGAGTCCTGACCGGAGGACCTAGCAACATGTAAATACAAGCTGATAGTAAGTCGTACCTGAGACCCGCGTGCAGTTAAATATAGTGATAGTAAGCCCTAACCATTGATGACCCGCGTGCAGGTTACACAATACAAGTGATATAAACAGTCTTACATGAGACTGCACACACCAGGTAAATACAAGTGATAGTAAGTCCTACCTGAGACCCGCGTGCAGGTAAATACAAGTGATAGTAAGCCCTACCTGAGACCCGCGTGCAGGTAAATACAAGTGATAGTAAGTCCTACCTGAGACCCGCGAACAGGTAAATACAAGTGATAGTAAGTCCTACCTGAGACCCGCGTGCAGGTAAATACAGGTGATAGTAAGTCCTACCTGAGACCCGCGCGAACAGTGTGAATACATGTGATAGTAAGCCCACCTACCTGAGACGCTGTGCATGGTGACATACACACAGTGATTAGTTAAAGTCTTACCTTGAGACCCGCGAACAGCGGTAAATACAAGTGAATAGTAAGCTCCTACCTGAGACCGCGTGCAGGTTAAATTACAAGTGATAGTTAAGCCCTACCGAGACGGCGTGCAGGTAAATACAAGTGGATAGCTACGTCCTACCTTGAGGACCTGCGAACATCGGTAAATACAAGTGCATTAGTAAGTCCTACGCTGAGACCCGCGTTGCAGCGTAAATACAAGTGATGTAAGGTCCTACTGCAGACCGCGTGCAGGTAAATACAAGTGATAGTAAGTCCTACCTGGACCCGCGACAGCGTAGATACAAGTGATAGTGAATGTCCTTACCTGAGACCCGGCGTGAGGTAATACAAGTGATAGTAAGTCCTCACCTGAGACACCCGCGTGATGGTAATACAAGTTGATAGTAGTTCCTAACCTTGGATCCGCGAACAGGTAATATCAAGTGATGAGTATGTCCTTACCTGAGAACCGCGTGCCAGGCTAATACAGGCTGATAGTAAGTTTACCTGAGACCGCGTGCAGTCGTAAATACAGGTGATAGTAGATCCTACCTTGAGACCGCCGTGCATGGCTAAATACAAGGTGCATAGTAAAGTCCTTACCTTAGAGGACCCGCGAACAGGTTACATACGAAGTGATAGGTAAGTCCTTACCTGTAACCGCGTGAGGTAAATACAGGTGATAGGTAAGTCCTACCTGAAAACTCCGGCCGACACAAGGTAAATGCAGGTAACATTAAGCCCTAACTGAGACTAGCGTAAAAATACTGGTCACAGCACAGCCTTACTGAGACTCGCGTAGATAAAATATAGGTAACAGCAGCTCTACATGAAACCTACCTATCCCTACGTAAGTGCTTCGCTTCATTGCTCGGGTGGTGGCATCGCTAGAGACATGCAGGACTGGGAATGTTGTTCATCAGTGGGAGGATGAATCGAGAGAAATTCGGCTTCCATTGAATTATGTATTATATAATTAAATTAATAATTAAGCAGAAGCGAATTCCGTATTTTTCCACGGAAGTTCGAGTCGAACGCAAACGAATTCGGGGTTTTCAGATCTGGTTCCAGAACCGACGGGCCAAGTGGCGGAAGCATGAGAGGCTGGGTAACTTCGGAGGACTTCAGGATCTGACGGACGCGTGCGACGCCATACTTCCTGCTCCGAAGTCTCGATCCATCAAACCAAGCTCATCGGCGGGGAAGGTTAGTTCAGTTGTCGCGCCACTGGCTGCGCCTATATGTCGATGTGTGTGTTAGTGTGTGTGTGTGTGTGTGTGTGTGTGCTGTGTGTGTGTGTGTGCTGTATGTGTGGTGTGTATTACGGTGCGTGTGTGTGTGTGTGTGTGGTGCTTCGTGTAACGGCCCGCTGTGCGTGTGTGCGTGTCCCGTGTGGTGTGTGTGTGTGTGTGTGCTGTGTGCTGTGTGGTGTGCGCAGTTGTTGTGATGTGCGTGCTGTGTGTGTCTGTGTCTGTTGTGCGTGTGTGTATGTGCCTGTGTGGTGTGTGTGTGTGTGTGTGTGTGTGCGCGCGTGCGGGCGGTCGGTTGGCGACCCCCGAGAGGTGTGTGGTGTGTGCTGTGTGCTTGGTGCGTGTGTGTATGTATGTGTGTATGAGTGTGTGTGTGTGTGTGTGTGTGTGTGTGTGTGTGTGTGTGTGTGTGTGTGTGTGTGTGTGTGTGTGTGTGTGTGTGTGTTTGTAAGTCTGAATATTATTTGACACCGCAGATATCAGCAGCCGTCTTGCCCTTGTCTTCGCGTGGCAATCAAACGTCACGCGTGTAGACACTATTCATCTGTGTTAGATGTTTGTACCATGATCAAGATGATGAGAGCTTTCACGTTAATAATCACTCATTATATTATATTATATATTATTATTATATATTGTATTATATTATATTATAGTATATTATATTATATTAATCTATATTATATTATATTATATTACTGATCGTAATATACCTGTCGCAGGTACACCTGGATGAAGATGTGGGTAATGAAAAGGCGCCCCGTCCCACCAGAAAGAGTTCCGTCAACGCCCCTCGTTCCTCTTACAGTGGCAGCACTCGAGTCTCCGCCAACCCAATGACCAGATATCCACTCCTCTCTTATCCGTATTTCCTACCGCTAGATGCCGCCACTTACCTAGGCGAGCGACGCGAAGATTCGGCGGAGGCGGAGACGACCGAAGGCGAGTCACGACAATCATCGAGCATCGCCAACTTGCGCATGCGCGCGCGAGAACACCAGACGGCTATCGAGATGCAGTATTTGTACCGCTAGGGGGCGTGAGCGGAAACTTTTTCCATCCGCATGCGGGTCTATTATGTCATCGTATGCACTTGCGTCTCGTCTTGTTGCTATGGTGTACTATGGCTATAGTATGAGTTTCAACAGTTATCGTCCACTTTTATTATGCGTGTGCGTGCGTACGGACCTGTGCTTGTACGAGCGACAATGCGTGAACGCGCGCACGTGCACACAGGTGCGTATGTGTACGCTCGAGTGCATGTATATCCGTGAGTGTACGCGCGTATGTGTACAGCGCTTATGTGTGCAAGAAATGCGTCGGGTGAGAGGGTCTATAATTTCATCGTAAGCTTATTCATTTTATATAATATTAAACGAAATACACCGAGGGCCTATAATTCTGTCGTATGGTTATTCACTTTATATAATATACAAGCGAACAGGGGGATGCTTATTTACATTAGCAGCCTCACTGTAGAGAGTTGATAATTCTACCACCTATACCCATGACATCAGGCGCGCCTCTCTTGCCCCCTGTATCTGCGCCATATCATCATCCATAAACGTATATAACACAGGAATTGTGTTCTATATCGACAGTACCGCAGAGCGCTGCCGAAATAAGTAGACGATCCGGTTTACATTTACGTCAACACGTAGGCAATGTTATGCGAACGCCATATTTACATGATCGGGATGATGCGACCCGATCCGCCAGATGGCGTGTTGACAGACGATAGTTTATCGAGAGAGCACTCGGTAAGGACCGTTCTCGCGCATATAGAGGCCTTTATAGGTTATATGCCTATATATTATGTTACTCGGCGAGTCACGTGAGCGACTCGCTCGGCGTCGGTAGTCGGCGAGATAAAGTGACGGTGTCATGGCGACCAGCTTACACGTCCTGGCAGGGCATTCTGGGAAGTATAGCCGCCAGGATGCGGTCGCGTGATTCAAATGAGTGGAGTTGGTATGTTAGGAATTATCGCTATTTATATATACAATATATATTATATTAAGAGCAAATAATACATTATTAACTCTATTATTATCTCTTGATATAACATATCTCTCTCTCTATATATATATAATATATATATAAACAATACGCAATCTATTATCCGAAACCCTTGGGACCAGACACGTTTCGAAATTCGGAATTTTTCGGATTTCGGAATGGTAGTACTGTACATACTGTGCATACCGTATATCCTGCAAATAGCCAGTACTAAAACCCATGTTTTCAAGAAGCCAAGTGCTGTACACTATGTATGAGTAATGCTAAACACATTAATGACCGCCACGAAAAAACTTTTTTCGGAGATTTTCGGTTTTCATAATTTCGGATAATATATTATGTACTGTATATATGTATTATATATGTATTATATATATATATATATATATATATATATATATATATATATATACAGCCGAGCGTATAATGACAAATATTTGTCATTATATTTATTGGCGTATATATCATTATCATTATCATTGGCGTATATATATACGTCATTATATTATATTGGCGTATATTTGTTGTCATTATATCATCGCCTTTCCTGATATATATATATATATATATATATATATTATACTATAGAGTATATATAGCTATAAATATTGGCGAGTGGAATCTTATGCAATGGTTACGATCCGGTAATTAATATGGATGATCAATTAGCTTTGAGTGGATCGACTATCGCTGTCGCTATCATAGCCTGTGCTGACTGCTGCTGCTACGTTCTCTGCCGACGCATTTACTGACTGAGAGGTGGGCGCTGTCTACCAGGGTTGCATTTGCATATATGACGTCAATATATTGGGCATATTGCGTGATATCAGCAGCGATTGCTGTAAATTGTGGTATCGAATAGTATCGAGGAATTGACCAATCGCTGTTCATATATTTCTAGACATATAGTCTATATGAATGAACTACAATGTGATTTGTCGTGGTGATGTGTGTTGTGTGTGTGGTGTGTGTGTGTGTGTGTGTGTGTGTGTTGTGTGGTGTGGGCCGGTGTGTAGTGCGTGTGTGTGTGTGTGTGTGTGTGTGTGTGCATCGTGCTGTGTATCGTGCGTGGCGTATGAGAGCGACGTTCGCTTTCAGTGTTTGTCAATATTTCTTAAAATAAATTTGAAAAAGCGATCTGTCATAGCATATGACTTGCCTCGATTGCTGTCGTGCTGGTGATGTAGGGTAAGGAAGAAATTGCGAGAATTAAATAAAAATGCGCCCGTTAGATAGCAGACAGCACGCGTTCGCTGATATATGTTAACTTTTATTATAATTAAAAATAAAGATACGCACGATGATGTGTCTCAAATATAACGGATAAATAGCTTGAGTAGATCCAGTGCATTTCGTGGAGAAACAAGCATGCAGCGCTCATCATCATCGTCAATCGTCACCGTCACATCATTGCATTATCGATTGAAATCGAGATGTAAGCAGTTAACCGTGTTAGTTAGCACAACGCCACAGTTTCACAGTTCTGAAACAGAATTGCCAATGTGCCGCACCCATCGGCACCACTTCACTAAATCAGACACTTGTTTGCAGCAACAAGCACCGCGAGCAGTCGAAACGTATAGAGCTCACGCTGATCGTGAGCCGGACTTTATATCAAAGATATGACTTTAAAAGTTATAAAAGATAAATTTAAGAGATCCGAAATAGCGAGAGACCGTCCTCCCGTCTGAATACGACATATTCAGCGGTCGTATTCAAACAGAAACCTGATGAACAAGCAAGAATATACACCATATCACCAGTTTCCCAAAACGGTTCAGCGCGTTGGCGTTCCAACTTAACGCGACCGTTTATACCAGAATTAAACGCAATGATCGTTTCGGAGCTTTCTTCCTATTGCTCCGTGACGGTGATTGTGGCGCCCCTGTACGAATTGCGAGCAGCACCGCCTAGCGGCGACGCAAGGCGACGCCAGGCTGTCTACACGTAATAGCGACGCGGTTATCAGCGCAGAAAATTACACATTATAACCGTAAATACACTAGAGGTCCATACACCGTTACGGCATGATACGACAATATTTTACGACGAATATACACACGACTCTCATAGGCAGGTTGGAGGCCGTGGATGAAAGGGAAGGGGTTCGGGCGGAAGGGAGGGTTTGAGAGAGAGATAGGGAGCTGAGAGGAGAGAGAGGGAGGATGGGGGAAGGGTGTGGCGAGCAATATAGTGCGACAGGGGAGGAGAGAAGAAGGAAATAGAGAAGGAGTAATAGAAAGTGAGGGTATAGGCGGACGGGGGAGGGAGAGAAGGGGGAGGCTTGGGGGATTTGCCATGCACTAACGACTTTTATTTCTTCTTGTTCCTGCCGCGTCCGTCTCTCTATTTCGGGACGACGACCTCTTCGTCGCGACAGGTAGGCCTGTGCGTAACGAGTCGACGTCGTCCCACAGAGCAACTCGAGCGCCGTCGATGGGCGCTCCGTCGTGTCAGGAGCGCGACACTCCGTCGTCTTCGAGCGACGTCGCTCGCGGTCTTCTTCGGTTCAGGTGACGTCACTCAATACCGGATTCGCGAATTTGTTTTTTGTCGCAGGGTCGGCCTCTTCGTGTCCCCGCCGATGGAAGAGAAGCTCTCGCTCTTTCGAGTTCCGCCTTTCATCCGGCGATTTGAAACCAGATTTGACCTGCGCGAAAGACAATTGACGAGAGAATGTAGCTATGAATGTTTCAGTTAAAAATATTTTAAATACCAGGTTTTATCGATAGTCGTTTAATTAGGTTCGTTGAATTATATGGCATTTTACGGAATATTAACAAAAGCACGCGATGGCAAACGTAAAGTCACCGCACTGTCCGCTGGCGCGTACAAACAGTTATAACATATATCAACGAATTATTCTGGCATATCGCCTCTCATTCTCTCCCTCTCTCTACGCCGCTCTCTTTCTCGCGCGCTGGCGCTCTCTCTTCTCTCGTCCTTCACTCGTCCTATCTCTATCGTAGCGCCTCCCCCTCCATCTCGCTCTCTTGCGCCGTGCCCTCTCTTTCTCGTTTCTACTCTTCTCTTCTCTCTCTCCCGTCTTCTCTCCCCCCTCCGATTCCTCCTCATCGCGCAGCATCAAACGACTTGCCACGCCACCACGACGCGGTGCCGGACAGCAGTCAGCAGGTACTTGATTAACTTATAATAAGCCATCGTGCTAATTGAATTTGCCGATTAGTGTTTGGCGCCAGAGGAAAATGGCACTTATTAGACTAACAATACAAATGGACGGCTGCGCGAGCGGTTGTAAATAAGGCCACGCGGCACTGAAACGCTGTTGGCGTGATTGGATCTGTCACACGGCATCTTCAGGGAGACCGCGCAAGCCGCTGCTACGCCGTGCCGCGCCGTCAGGGCTGCGTGCATTTTACATGCGGAGGTGCTAGGGTGGAGCGTTACGGGGCGGAGGGAGGAGGAGAGGAGGAGGATGGGAGGAGGAGGAGGGGAAGATGAGACACGAGGAGGAAGAGGCAGGAACGAGGAGCAGGAGAGCGAGGAGAAGGAGTTAGGACGCAGAGGAGGAGAATGGAGGAAAAAAGAGGAAGGAAGGGGGAGAGGAGGAGGAGGAGGAGGGCGAAGGAGTGGAAGATGAGAGGACACAGGAGAGGAGGAAGGGAGGAGAGGAGAAGAGAGCGGAAAAGACGAGGAGGAGGAGGAAGGAGGGAAGAGAAAGAGGAAGAGGCAGGGAGGCAAAAAAAAGGGAACACAGAGTAAGAGGAGGAAGAGGAGGAGGTTGGAAGAGGAACGTGCGAGAGATGACGGAGTGAGAGGAGGATAAGGAAGGAGAGACGCAAAGGAGGAGGGAAAGGAGTGAGGAGGAGGCACGGAGGACCAAGAGGAGGAGAAAAGGAGGAGGAGGAGGAGGACGTAAGACCATGAGGAGAAGGCAGGAGGAGGTAGAACAGCGAGGCCCCAGGACCGGACCCCTTGTCCTCTCTCCCGTCGCCTCGCGCGTCTAGTCGGGTGACAGCGGTAGATTCCCGCCGCGTGTGGTAACGTCGTGACTCAGAAACGGCACTTTGGCATATTCTCT